GGTGGCTGTCGGCAAGCTGAAGCTCAGAACAAGCTGAGTGATGCAGCAGGACAATGACCTTAAACATCTACTACAGAATGTCTTTGGAGACAAAAAAATTTCCTTTTGCAGTGGCCCAGTCAGAGCCCAGACCTCAAACCAATAGAGATGCTGTGGAATGAGCTTAGAGAGCTGTTCACACCAGACGGCCTAGGAATATGGCTGAGCTGAAGCAGCTCTGTGAAGAAATGGTCCAGAATTCCCCCTGAACATTGTGCAGGACTTATCCATAGCTACAGAAAGTGCTTGTTTGAGATTATTGCTGCCAAAGGTGGTTTATCCAGTTATTAAAATACTGTTGCCCATGACTTTTTTCACCATTGCTTTGTATGTTTAATGGGGGTGTTCAGTAAAGACATGAAAGATCATGGCTATTTGTGTTTTATCAGCTTAGAAATATTGTGTTTGTGGATATTTATGACTTTGGTGAAGATCAGATCATATTTCATGATCAATTTATGTAGAAAACCAGGAAAAACTGCAATTACTTTTTCTTGTATATTAATATTCAAGATTTTTTTTTTATTATTGTCAATTCGCTATATGTGCAGGACATACAGCAAAATTGAAATACTGTTTCTTAATCCTAATATTAAATGCCCACACCATTTAAGGAACTAAATAGAATAAACTCAGAATAAATAGAATATGAAGACTGAATTAAAGTAATTAGGATAAACTAAATGGTACAACCTAATAGGCTATGAAGAAACTCAAAGCCATGTGCAAACAGTGACAGCAGTGCAAATAATAACAAGGGATCCCATTGTTTGAGGAGTTAGTGAAAAATCTAAATATTTTGACATGGATTCTTAGAACAGTCTTGTGTTTTCAGTTGGTTTTTTTGACAGTGAGTGCAGCTTTTGTTGGAACTTGATTGTTCATCCTTTTGCAGTTTTATGACCTGAAAAACAACACCAGCAAACTAAAAAAAAGAGGTCTACAGGAGCTTTCAGGCCTCAAGAACACTCTGACTTATCAGTGAAAAGTGTTGGAATTTTACATCAGGACCACATCTGGGTCACATCTTACCTGCTACTTTAGATTTTAGTTTGTGTACAGGTTATTTGTATCCTTCTGTAAGTTAGCAAAGAGGCATTCTATTTTAATGTCTTGTGGTTAATCTTTAAATAGAGCAGGGAGTATTTGCTTTACAAATTGGGAAGCAAGGATAGATGAGTGTTTCAGAGGTTGTTGAACCTTTTCTGCTTTTTAACGGTTACTCATTACACCTGGCAGTCCAAACCCAAACTTTCCGTTGCGGTTTGTGAAAATCTCTTTGTTACTTTTGCATAGTTAACTCACAAGCACAGTGGTTTTCTTGATGTAAGGCTCCAAATATTATATAACTGCTGTTTTATCTAGTATATTTGTTTCCTCTGTGTGGGCAGCCACCTGCTTTGAGTTTACAGCTTCCTAAAGTAGCTTGAGCCTACCTGCTATTGCTGTTATGAAATGATCTGTAGAACCAAACCTTGACGAACATGTCTTTGGCAGATTAAAATGGAAACAGGACTGCCTATTGCTTTAACATTTTATCTAGTTGCTTGTTTTGTACTCCTTCACGTTGTCTGTTCTGCAGCACAGCCTGCTGTCTTTTTTTTTTTTTCCCCCGCCTCTTTTCACCTTATGTTTTGAGCCTCTCAAAATAAATAGCCAGTGAACAGGCAAATAAGTAATTTTGATTTAATTCAGGTCTTTCAAACTGTGTTACATCTTGATATAATATGCAGTAGTTTCAAAGAAACACAGGTTTGTCAAACAGCTGTAAGAACTTGGTGAAATGTCACTCCTTACTCCTAAGATGAACTGCAAATTTAAAACTGCTGCATACGTTTTCCAATGTTTGCTATAGAGTTATTATTTCTGTTTTTATTGTTTTGAACTTGCCTGAGCTGAAGATTTGGTTACCATTCTACTGCAGCATGGTGTTATTTACTTGGGATTTGAGGCTTGGCTTAACTTAATATTCCCAGTGCATATAAACAAGGTGCTTTTCAGCTACAACTGTATGTACCGAATAAATATACCTTTTTTGACTTTAGTGTCTTTGCGCTGGATGAAGCTGCCTCCAGTTAGGACAGGAGGACAAGAGCGTGCCCGTGAAGTGCCATATATGCGTTATGGCCACACAGCTGTACTGCTGGATGATATTATCTACCTCTGGGGTGGGCGTAATGACACGGAGGGGGCCTGCAATGTGCTTTACGCCTTTGATGTCAGTAAGTAGAGCTACATCTATCTCATGCCGTTAAGTGATAGTTTCAGGCTGTATTTCCTTTGAGATTCACCTGTTTGATGTTACGGTTGTGATAGCAAAAGGGAGGGAGGTGTAACACCTGCTTGTATGTGTGATGATTTTTTTTTCTGTTGCACATGACCCAAATGTTACTGTATGTCAGTATTGTAAAATGAGAGGTTAGGTCCATGGCATTAGTGCTTAGACTAAATGTAAACTGTTCCTACTTCATAGGCACCCACAGATGGTTCACACCCAAGATTTCAGGGACTGTTCCAGGAGCAAGGGATGGCCACTCAGCCTGCGTCCTAGGGAAGGCAATGTATATATTTGGAGGATATGAGCAGCTGGTGAGTCTTCATCACTCTTCACTGTGGGACCTGCTCATTAAACATAACTTAATTAATCTCCTCTTCTGTTTTTTTTTTAGGCTGACTGCTTCTCCAATGACATCCACAAGCTGGACACCACCACTATGATTTGGTCATTAATTAATGCCAGAGTGAGTTGCACAGTTGTTAATGTCAAAAATTAAAATGATTTCCCCTTTACTATACTGACATTGTCTTGCACTGAATGTTAAATTCCAAATAAAAATGGACATGAAACACTCACTCAAAGAAACAGACATTGGTTGCACTGTCAGCATGCTCAGCTACATTCAGAACACTCTTGGAAATCAACAATTGTTTATTGCTGGGGTTGGCAGTACTGTTACACAATCACTCAGTGGTTGGACTGGCTGGATAAAAAGCTCCCTGGTAGATGGCCAAGTACAAATGCCATTTGTGTTTGTATGCAGTCAACCTCCTCATGTGACAAAGTACATTTTATTCACAGACATCAGTCCCTAGGGTAAACCAAAGACCGGTGGAGGAAGGTGATACTCTGCCGGTCCTTGACTTTGTTACTAATAACATAAAGCCATCAAGAAAATTATAGTGTTGTAATTTAGACTTAGTTGTGCATGTGTCTGAGTAATGCTTTTTTTTCAGCATGTTGTCAACCTTGCATTCCTTTTGGAAAATCAAACAGCCTGGTATGCTTTTTCTCAAAACCTGCTGTCTTACAAACATTTTGTTTGTTATAGCACTCATTTAAATTTTTGCCAAGCCTGTAGTTGTCTCCAATCTTGTTTTTACTGGGTCCAGTACAGTGATTTTAAACATTTTTTTTCCCGGTGGTTTTATTGTTTGTTAATTTTGATTCAAGAAAAGCATGTGAAAGGCGTTACCACGGCTCTAGGCCAGGTAAATGCAAAGAGAATAGAGGCTTCCCTTTTGGTAGGCACAATTTCATTTAGTGGAAACAGATCACGTTACACTACTGTACATTTAAACACTACACAGTGCCTGTTACTGAACAATATTTTTTGTTCAGGCAGAAAGGAGTTTATTTTTGGTAGTGTGTAACTTGGTCCACTAGGTGGTGATGTTTACCTGAAGCTACAGGTTGAGAAGTCTCATCTTCCTCATGAAGATGAAGCTTTATACTAAGGGTTATGATGCGGATAAACCATTTGCAGACACTGAAGATTTTTGAATTAAAACTGATTTATGAGGTGTAGTACAAGTTATGCAAGAATGCAGTAAAAGTGTGTAATTTAAATCCAGTATCATTGCTATTTGTCCTAAGTAGACTTTGTTCTTTCTTTCCACTGAAACTTTATGATGTGTCAGAGTATAACAGTAAGAGCATCTTTTGCTGGTCTTCTCCCCACAGGGCACCCAAGCGCGCTGGAGGGACTTCCACTCAGCCACCATCATTGGGACAAAGATGTTTGTATTTGGAGGGCGGGCCGACCGCTTTGGTCCCTTCCACTCTAACAACGAGATCTACTGCAACAAGATCAAAGTGTTTGACACAGAGACCAACTCATGGCTGAATACTCCTTCAACGCAGCCATCGCCAGAAGGGCGCAGGAGTCATTCAGCCTGTAAGACACAAATACACCCATAAAGTCACTATGATGAGCACATTTGTAATTATTGCTTAACCATAAAAGTAATTCTGTATAAGTATTTTCAAGTACGATAAGGATTTACCCATAATTCATTTAGAGACGAGAACTGTTTGCCACAATAGCTTAATATAATAATTTTGTTTAGTGCAGAAACACAATAAATGAGTATTTTGTTGTTGGGTGTTGGTGGATATACATGTTCCTGAATAAACTCCAGGTGTTGAGAAATTATCTTAGTAAGGCAAATCATCTAGTCTTTGTCATTAAAATAACAATGTTTTCTTTCTTTTTTTTTTTTTTTTTGGCTGAACCGTTGAAATAATATTTTTAAGATTAAGAACCTTAACCTATCAAATAATTTTCCTGCTTTCTTAATGTGATTTGTGTATAAAGTGCAGTCATTTTCCAGTGTGGCCTGATTCATTCTGCATTTACTTGGTACAAGATAGCATTCTATATTAAATCAGCTGTTGTAGCTGTCTCATATGGTTCCGTTTACAGTACTGTAAATGTTATTGAGCTCTATAATGTATCATTATTTTTTTGTTTTTCTCTTTTTAAGTTTCCTACAATGGAGAGCTGTACATATTTGGAGGCTACAATGCCCGCCTCGACCGGCACTTCAATGATCTCTGGAAATTTAATCCAGGTGATTCACTACATATGTCAAATTGGGGAAAAAGGGTCACTTTGCTGTAAAGCATTGCTGCTTTTGTTTTTGATCTGACTGCACTGATGACTGTTTACCTTTGCACTGGCAGTTGCTAGCTTGTGTTGGCCCACTTTCCTCATTCTTCTGTCAAGCAGACTGTCTTCTATCTTATTGCATCATTGTCAGTATGATAGTGGCTGGCTGCTCCCTCTCTGTTGAGTGTGAAATACAGATACTCTGTATTTGGCCAGAAGCACATGAAAACTAGACCACAGTTCAGTAGCTGGATTCTTGGTCTGTTCTTACAGGTGCTACTAGATTGAATTTCAAATAAGCAGGGGTTATTGGGGGGGGGGAACAGTCACAACAAGAAAAAAACTTTTATGCTAAACGTCCGCATTGGCCTCTTTCTCCTTTGCTCCCGTCTCCTTTTAATTGTAGTTTACTAGAGGAAACACAGTTGTACACTGACATTCAATAGTGTTTCAGGTAGACTATTAATACACTGAGGTCATGCTAAAAATAATCATACACAACATGTGTATAATGAGACTTATTCTGTCTACTCATGTATCTGAAGAAGCTTGTACTAGGTGAACCTGACATCTGCTGTTAACCATTTAAACCTGTGCTTTATGGTCCACTAGGTGGCAGCAGCCCAATTACAGTCCTAATTATCCACTACAGTCCAAGTGGCCTGTTGCTATAGAGATGCAATGATGATGTTGGCTCAGACAGTGTGAGGCACCACAGTTAATCCTTATATGGAATAACTGAGAGCGCATAAAACATCATCACTCAAACTGCACTTTAGCGGAGCAGAACAAAGGATTTGTTTCTATTTTTGAAATATAAAGTGTTGTGTTCAAATGAAGGTTAGGTTTTGTTTTCTTACTGTCATTGCTTCTTTTCATTCCCTTTTCTCTGGGCCTTGTGTTTTATGTGTGAATAAATATAGCAGGAAGCTCAATGGATTGCAAACACAATGGGGAGCACAAGCAGGTTTATGTAATTTTAAGTTTTTCAAAGATTTTATAGCTGCTATGATGTAGTCCTCCACACAGTTCAAAGTTTGTTGTCAGAGGTTCCTCTGTTGCTTAAGTCAAAGGTGTAATCTGATTTTTTACAGTGTGTGTTCAATCGAGAGGTGGCTAAGTGTATGTATATTCAATTATTTTCCTCTTTTTCCACCATTATGTGTAAATATTATCTCATCTTTGTTCTTGTGTGTACGCACTACAGAAGCCTTTTCATGGGAGAAGGTAGAACCAAAGGGGAAAAGCCCATGTCCACGGAGACGGCAGTGTTGTTGTATGGTTGGCGATCGAATCATTCTTTTTGGAGGAACCAGGTGAGGTATAAAATATAATATTGAATATATTAATATATTGAACTGTTATTTTTATCTACACTGTAAAACTGGCACCTTTTTATTGAAAGGTTTATATGTGCACTGTATTCAAAAATGTTCCCAAATTTTAGGATGTTTCCCTGGTAAAACTCTTCTTTTTTAGTTTAGCTCTCTAATTCTTTATTAATTCATGGATTAGTTATTTAAAGTTATATCTTCATATCTAACTAAAGAATATGAACATGTTCACATATAGCTGCAAAACGGTTCACTCCATGTGCACTGTTGTTGAGCAAATACAACTTGTGCTGTTCTTCACCCCAGTTACCCCCTACCCAGAGGAAGAAAGGGGACCATAAACTTTTCAGTATTTACAAATATATATACAGTACTTGGACAAAAGTTTGAAGGCATGTGTACATACAGGCACATAAGTACCATTTAACATTGCATGCTTATTGCTGCAAGACTTATGTCATGACATACACAAGTGAACTTACTTTAAAAGTGAACTGAATATTGAATTTTGAATCAGCATTAGAAATAGTAACTAATTCAGTGCAACCTGAAGATCTCCAAGCATGAATGCTTTTGTATGAAATATTTGTTAGCAGTTAAGAAAAATTCTCTAACAATTTGAGTAGTTGACCAGAGACTGAGAATGTTACCTGCTCCTTTCTTTACAAGTGCTTAAATTCTTGACTCTTTACTTTGTTTGTCGTCATAATTTTTATGAAGCGGAATCTTTCAAGACAAACAACATTCTGTGTTTTTGAGCAGTCTGTGGAGAACAACTGTCCTTTCTTTTCAACATGCCAAAGGGAGATTCTGGCTCCTGTGGACAGCAGTCGGTCATGATTCCCTCACTGGCTGTAAGTCAGTAATGATTGTTGGGGGGTTGTAGCTGGTAATGTGCCACTGGGCTGGTGAATGGCTTGTGATAGGCCAGTAGCCAGTGGAGTAATGAGGTAGCTAACAGCGTTAACCTGGTCCAGAGTAGTCCAGGACCTGGGCTACTATTATCAGGAAGGCTGTGTTATCAGGCAAACCCCACTGGGATAACCTGATAATGGCGATTGGGAGGCTGTGGATAAGAGTCTGATCAGCTCCACTACGTCTGCAGGTCCTCAAGGCCGCTGGCTGCTGCTGAATTTGTTTTCCACTGCTCCAGTGATCACCACATCATGGGGAGCAACACACTCAAATACACAAGTGTAATCATGAGTCATCCATTATGCAGAAGGATTGAGGTCATTATTAAAACAGTTATTTTTATTGTTACCATATATAAAATGATAAATAGGCAGAAGTGTAATGTAACAGAACATTTTAAAGTCATCTTACACATGGAGCTCACAAACACACTCTTACAACCCTCCAGCAGATTGATTTTAAAGGCTGCTTTTCATATTCCAGTTAATGCATTTGAGAAAAACAACAACAACAACAAATCTGCTGCTTGTAAACGGTAGCAGTCAAAGGTCAGTAAAATCAGTTATTGATTTGGAACTGAAGAAGAAAATTGTTTATAAAAGCTGAGCTTAAGAAAGTGTTTATTCTAAAGCTTGTTATGTGCTGTTTGGTTTCTCTCTGGGATTAGTCCAAGATGGGTTTTAAGGAGTCATGATTTCCTGTTGTGGGCAGATAGGGCTGGGGCTGGAAAAGGGAGGCCACTAGAATGATGCAGGATGTTGTCTGAGCAGAGGAAGAAATCAAACACCACACAATGTCTATGGCATCCTGTTTAAAAGCTGCAAGGCAGATTTTAGTTTTTTGTACCAATTCAGCTTTTCCACCTCAAGCCCAATGTACACCAAGCATTTTTATAAGGGGAGAATGTTGTTGTGTTATTGTCATCTGTAACATGGAGTATTCTGTATTATAGTGGACGCTCTGTTTTAGCCCTGCCAAGATGTTGTTACTATACAAATTAGAGCATGACCCATGCAGGCTGCCAAGCAAATTAACCCCACAGGTTCTCTTCACCAGCATTGCATGTTTGTTGTTTACATGAACACACTTAAGCCTCATACACACAGGAGCTCTCATAAGCACGTGCACACACATATTAAGACACACAAATACACTGCAAGTGTCTTATTGTCACAGTCATTTGTTTCCTTTCTTCTTATACTAAGACAGTTTTCTTACTAAGGTTTGTTTAGTGTTTTCATTGCTGTCATGATTTGCACTTATTAAGATTAGACAGACCTAGTTCTACAATACCAATTTAACATTACTTTGAAAACCAGCCATTGCCAAGTCTCCTGTGTTTATTTTTGCATGACCTAACAACTTGAGGGCAGTTAACGGGGCTAAGATGTTATTGGTGTATGTCTCAATGCAATTGACAAATGCTTGCACAAGCCGTCATGAATTATGTGCTGGACACCTTGCTTGTGTTCTTTGTGGGGCTCCTCAATTTGGCAAGGCTGCCAAGGAAATTGTGTTGAAATTTATGGACCATGTCTTGTTTTCCTGAGTTGGTTGTCCTTTCAAAGTGATCCAAAACAGAACCTTTCTTCTGCTGTTTATTTCCAGTTTGATATTTATTTTACCTGCAGGAATTTGTTCTGGAATAATTTATTAGTTTAGTGAAGGACACTTAAAGTCCAGGAGTCCTCTGCTTTCAAAAAGGTTACACCTTGAACTGGACATAGCACTGGTTTGTGTTGACATTTGTAAAACAAGCATCTACTGCATGATACAGTGTAAACTCTAATGAATAAAAGGAGACTGGAAAAATTTGAATTTGAGTGCAACTCTACATTCACCTGCCACTTTATTAAGTACACCTGTACAATTGTAAGTAATTCAACACTTCTGCCTTAATGTCTGTGTTTATGAAGCTCAGAATGTTTCAGTTTTTGGTGAAATTGCCATAAATGTATATATTATTTTTTATTAAAGTCATAGTTAAAAGTGATGTTGTACTGCACTACATTATATTCAGAGGTGTTCCTAATATTCTGACCCTCTCACGTATTTGGCAGGCGAGGTCAAAAATATAGACGACTCTAAATATAATGTAGTCCAGTACAACACCACCTTTAACTGTAACCTCAGTAATAAACATATAATTGAATTTATGTGAACTGACATTCTGAGCTTCATAAACACAGATGTTAAGGCGGAAGTGTTGCATTGAATTGCATGCAATTGTACAGGTGTACCTAATAAAGTGGCTGGTGAATAAGTATTCAGTGGTAGAATATGTATGGATTTAGATTTTTGTGCTGTAGTAGTTGCCATTAAGCAAGATTTGGTTCTGGACATCTCTTGTGTTGTAGATATTTGTGTGTGTGTGTGTAGGTAGGTACACACTTGCTCTTCATTGAGGGTAAATAAGCTTGGTGTGTGTGAATGGGAATTAGTGGCAGTGCACTGACTGCCACTTGTGTCAGTGTAAACAGGCCTGGCGAGCTGCAGAAAGGCGCGAAATTCTGCCCCATCTCTGATTTATGACCTTAGGGAGCATTCTTTCTCACAAAGTGCAATTTGATATACTCTCAGCACCTCTGCTACACTCATTTACTGAGACCTGCTCACTGCCCCTCGAAGGGCGACACGTGCATGACTAACTCCACCTGTACTGACCTTCACCTACATGCACAAGCAATGACTAGCATTGCTAAACCCTGTGCATTGCTAAATTTTTCTCACCTTCTGAGGAATAGTACACTGCTATAGTTGAGTTGCACATGAAGACAGAGCCATGTACATAGATTATGGATCTCCAGCTGAGCTTGCGTTGGCATTCATCACATACTTTTAATAATTGCTTACGACAGGCTCAGGTTGGGCTAAATCGGGAATTTTGAGCTTGAGAACAGGGCATTCTATGAGGGGCAGGATGTGAGCAAGGACAAGACAGATTGGCATGCTGGGACCAGACAGCTTGGAATCTGTGAAGGGAAAGCTGGCACAGGCCCTTGAACTACTTGGACATGACGACATGTATTCTTTTGCATTTAGGGAAAATATATTTATAGAGACAAGAATTTCTTGCCTCTCTGATAATTGTAATGTGGACTGATTTAAATCCTTTTTGTGTTGAAATGCTACTGTTTGACAGAAGGTATTTTGTCTTTGGTAAATGTTAAAATTTAAAACACCCCAGTTGTCTTATAGAGTTGGTATTCTGTGCATTTTTTTAACCCATCAACACCTTTGTTTGGACTGCTGATAATGAGAGTTCTTCAAAGGGGTTTAAATTGCTGTCACTGTGAGCACCAGGGACCGGTAGCTGACAGTTTAGATCTAACCATGCCAAAGAGATCTTTAGTGACCGATGAGTCTCTTTGATGTCATCGCTTTGCTTAGACAGGCCCAGCTAAGGTGTCTGACTTGTACGTAATCCAGTGACGCAGGAAGTTATTATCTGCATTCATATGTGCTCAGACAAACAATGATGTTTTCAGTAGTAGTGGAAGTACAGCATGAATCATTGCAGATTCTCTATAAGGGGAAACCTGTTTATCCAGAGCAGTTTTAAACATGCTAATGTGTGCCACCGATTGGAAACAGAAGTAGTTCTAGCAGTCCCTCAGACTTGCACATGTAAACAGTCAAAGAAAGTAAGAGCTGCTGAATGTGACTTTGTTCCCAAATATGTTTCCAGGACTTAATGTTTTGGGGTCTTTTTAAAAGCAGAAACCACGTTGTAGATTTTAAAAGCCTTAAAATATCACAGTGGCCATGATTTACTTGCCCTTAACCAGAATTCCAGTCACATTGTAGAAGCCACTGTGGACCATGACTGAGATGTCCTCTGCTCAGTACGGAGGCCAGTAGGACACTCGGTCCCATCCCATCACTGTTTTCTGGCATAATGTGTCATTTGTGTGTATTTGGATGAATTCACATGACTTAATGACTCACAGCTGTTCTTGTTGAGCTGACGTCAGAGTGGTACACATACACGCGCTTGTTTGCTTTGCTCTGCCAGCCTTAACGCATGTGTTCAGTTTGGCAATATGCAGATCTACTTGGTATATTTA